CGTGGCTTGTTGGCTTCGTGGCTTTATATTTACCCTTTAAGCCATTGTGCCCTATGACCATAATCGATAGTAGTCTTAGTAGCATCATTATTTTCAGTTCTGGCTCGACTATTGTTAGTATAACTTTCGATACGCGAACTACGAAAATCAAACAACTAAGAAAACAAACGAACAGTTATATGCTTCTCTTGCATCCACACACACACAGACACACACACACACAGATATCTCTCTCTTTTTTTTGTCTCTCACTCGGCCTGTATACACAAACACTTACATATCCAGATGCGCGAGCTGTGAGAGCGTATATATCCAGATGCGTATTACATATATATATATATTTATTTATACATACATACATACATATATATATATATATATCTCTGCACCATAGACGCATCCATCTGTATATTTCCTGACACGAGTTGTGCACATGCAAACAATTACGTATGATAAGTATATATATATATATACATCTATGTACATACATACATATACATATGTACATATATATATATATGTATGTTTATATGGATATTTATGTGTATATGGATACGGCGTGTATATATATATATACATGTATGTGTATGTATATATATATATATGTTTTTGTTTTCTGCTTTTCTGTATTGCTGCTTTTCCGCACTAATGACTACCATTGCGATGATTACTATTACAATCCGAATTATCTGGGATTTTTTTTTGTTCTGGTGTGTTTTTTTTGTTTTTCTTGTTGTTGCAAGTACAAAGAAACATGGCGCGAGAGAGCACACTCGGTACAACAGCAAAGAAAGAAGGAAAGAATACGAAAGAAAGTCAAACAACGCACGAAGAAATAATCACGACAGAGCAGCTTTTGCTGGATCAGCTGCGCATGAGCCAGCTGTTGCAGCGCATCAAGTTGCGTACGGAACGCAACTCTGTCTTTTCCCCCCGCTCCTCCCCCCAAAGCTCCTATTGGTCAGTCCGAACAACATGTTGTTGGCCGGCCTCTCGCGGAAACGGTTTCGTACAGATCCTTTCGAGAACGCAGACAGCAACGCGCTATACAGCGGCAGCCGCATTCCTGGCAACTTTCTGCGCACGCAGCCATGGCGAGCAACTTTCTCTACACCAAATGTCCGAGCCCTCTACGCTGCACCACAATTTTTCTGGAACTATTGAAATCTCACTTACAGAAATCGGACCTTTTTGATCCTTCCGAATTTTGTTGATCGGTCTTCCCGGGAACAGTGCTGACATTTGCAGCAGATCCCAAACCGTAAATCTTTTGTTGATCCTTCCTACATTTTTTTGATCCTCCACGCCCCACTTCGGCCAGGTCTACGCGGCTGCGGCTATGGCTACTGTTTATTACGTACGACGACGACTACTGCTGCTACCCTGCTGCTACCGCTACGGCTACGGCTACGGTTACGGCTACTGCTGCTACTTCTGCTACTGCTTCTGCTACTGCTTCCACTCCTCCTACTCAGACTCCCACTCGCGCTGTTGCTACTTACTTCTACCACTGCTGCTCCTCCCACTGCTACTGCTACTAATCACACTACTGCTGGGGCTACGCGGCTACTTCTGCTCCTGCTCTCACTCCTCGTCCTCCTTCTGCCGCTCCCATTCCTACTCCTAGTCTCATTACGCCTCCGCCCACTCCTAATTACTCCAGCTCGAACTCCTACCCCTACTCCTACTACTGCTGTGCTGCCGCTGCTGACGCTGCTGGTCCTCCTGCTGCTGCTGCTGCTACTACTCCATCTCCTGCTGGTACTGCTGCTGCTTCCGCTGCGGCTGCTACTACCACTACGCAATACTACGCACATGAAGACCACCACAAGAATGAGAAGCGGACTGTGCAGCGCCTCTGGCTGAGGAGCTCCTCTCTGGCCGCCGCAGGGCCTGAGCTCCACGAGCTGGTGTTGCGTGTACTTCGAGGCCGAAGCATCGGGCCATGCATATAGATAGATAGATTCAGATAGATAGATTTGCACGCATTATGCCCAACCGCACACATGCACACCAGTTATCTCTCTCATTCCCCTCCATTTCAGTGTGTAGAAGCAAAAACAGATGAACAGGTGAATATGTGTATTCATGAATGAATGAATGTATGCATGCATGCATGCATGTATGTATGTATGTATGAATGTGTACATATATATATATCTGCGTATATCTGCTATATATTTATATTTACACATACACATGCATGTATGTGTATACATATATGTATACACGTATATACCTACTTACCTGCCTGCCTGCCTACCTACCTACCCAGCTTGCCTGCCTGCCTGCCTGCTTGCCTGCCTGCATACATACATACGTACATTACATTACATTGCATTGCATTGCATTTCATTAACTACACTGCATCACATTACATCACATTACATTACATTGCCATACATGTATACATACATCATGCAGACATGCATATGTGCATACGTGCGTGCCTGCTTGCCTGCCTGCCTGCCTGCCTGCCTGCCTGCCTGCCTATTGCATACATATATACACATATGTAGATACATGCGCACACATACAAAGATGTGCCTATGTAGGGTTACAGACAGGATGGGCGGAGGATCTAGCCACGTATAGTCCTTCGGGGATTGCGTGCCAGCTGCCGAAGGACAAAAGACGCAGTGGATAAATGACGAATGCTGCAGATTGCTGTAGCATCGGGCTTTTGCTTTCTCTGGCGAGCCGGCAGCTGGCACGCAGTTGGCATACAGAAGGTGAGAAACTTCTTTTGAGAGCAACTTTCTAAGATTCTAAGTGTTGGCGCACCTAAGCACCCGAAGCCACGACAGCAACGATGAGATTTCAGTATACAGGAGCGGCGGCATCCGAGTGCCAGACTCCGCAGGACATGGAGGTCCACTTCTGGCAGGAGTGGGCTTTCCAGACGTGTGCACTTGCTGTAATGCCTCCTTGCCGGTAGGATGGTGGCGACTACAGTCGCTCGAACTACAGTTACTGTTTCCCCATGCTATCCTTAATGCAGTCCCTACTGCTGCTGCTGCTGCCGCAGCGGCTACAGCTGCTGCTTACTGCGATTTTTACTGCTGATGCTCTGCTACTGCTGCCCCTGCTTCTACAAGTATTATTACTCCAACTACTTCGGCTTCTACTGCTACTTCTGCTGCTGCGACTGCGACCGTGGCTGCTACACTGCTACTGCTACTGCTGCTGCTTCTGCTACTTGCTACTTCTGCTGCTTCTGCTGCGCCACTGCTGCCGCATTTCCCCTGCTGTTACTTGCGCTGCGACGATTATTGCTCACAATGCGAACTTCTTTGATATGTGACGACAACTACGACGACGACGACGACTCCTGCTGCCGAGGCTGCTGCTGCTTGCTCACTACCGCTCGCCGTTTGCCAGTTGAGCCCAGTTGATTTCCAGGAGATCTTCGCTAGCCCCATTCCCATGGAGGCCGCCGCTCGACTGCTGCTTTTGCAGCTTGATTCGGCAGAGAGCCAGGCAGAGAACTGAAACGCAGTTTAAAACAACAGCACAGCACAGCAGGCACACACCCGAACACACATATACACCAACGCACGCATACTGTATTTTTCGAAGGCGGATATAGCGAGAGCAGAGAGAGGGCAAGACATGTCAAAGATTCTTTTCAAGTCCGGCATGGCCAGGGAACTCACGAGCACTTTTTGTCCGTGATCGAAGGAGTCTTCCATGGGCACCGTGGCGCCGACAGCTGCTAAGCCGCCTGTTTGCAAAAGTCCCGGCTTCCCCAACAGAACTCATGGCGTGTACTCTTCATCTGCGTGGGGTTCGGCATGCGCCCTGGAAGAGTTTTTCCTTCCTTAAGCTCATTTTAGTCCCAGTCAGGATTGTCAACCCGTCAAAGACGAGGTACTTCAGGCAGAAAAGTCGCACACAGTCCAGCAGCGAAGCCCAGTCTCTTCGCGTGCCCCTGGAAATTCAGAGACAGTCTTAGGCGCCACACCTCAGCGTTGGAAGCATGTGGCAGCTTCTTGGATCGAAAGAATAAGAAAAGCCAGAGATGCTAGGAATATAATTGAATATAATGTAATATAATGTCTTACAATATAATATAATTCCTATTGTGACAATATATGTCGAGCCCGCGCCAGGTAGTACTGCTTTCCCGGAGGTCGAGGGTTTGGCGGAGTTGCTTGAGCAGATCGAGAGACTGCCTAGGGCCCAGCGGCGCGTCTTGGAGCTCTTGAGCGCAGCTCAGATATCTCAAAAAAAATCTCAATAAAAGGGCTACTGCTGCTGCTACTGCTACTGTCCTGCTTCTAAGTACTAAATACGAGGGACAAGGATGGTAACAATAATGCAGCTTATCTTACAAAAGCTGAGTTATGTTGGTGCTTACGAGTTCTTCCTACTAGAACGCAATCGGTTTGGGTTGATTCCATCTCCCTGCGCTTGGGAAGCCTCTCCATGCGCTCCGGCCGAGTTTTCATGCATAGAGAAATTTTGGAGCCGACTGAAACAACGAGGTAAATGTCTTTACTGCTGCTGCGGGTTTCGCACGAGCGATTGAAGTTGTCCGCGGACTCTCGCAGCCAGTGGCCACGAGAGGGAGTTCTGCAGCTGATCCCCTCGAGGAGATCGATGCCGAACTGGAGCAAACGTTGGAGAAGCTTCGTGACGACATTGAGAGTGTCGGTGTTGACCGTGCAATTGACCTCTTCATCGAGGAGTGGAACTGACGTAGGCCCAGTTGGTTGGGCGCGGGACCGGGCCGGCAACATCCTTTCCCGATTATCTGCTTGAAAATTCAGAACACAGAGGACCCGAATTTGTTTCAAAGCTTTGTCATTTGTCGGTCCATGCAGAGGCTGGGGGGCACAGATGCGGCAAAAGCCTGGTGGCGATGGCAGTGTTCTACAGCATGGGGTATGCCCCGAAACACTGGTCAGAAGCTGCTTGTAGACCCTCCATCTGTCGTTTTGCGTCGCCCTCCTTCGGTCGCCTGCTGCCGTTTGACCGTTCGAATGCAGGCATATAACAAGCAAAACAGAAATATCAATGCCGGAGGAGCAAGTGATCATCAGTACATGGTGAAATGCTCGCCCGCACCACCAAAGTCTAGCCAAGCGAAACTGCGGCTCATTTATGGACAGCTATGCGCTCAGTTTAGTATCTCTAACTTCGAAGATCCTACAGGAAGCCCGCAACTTACTCCCAAGCTGAACATGGCTTTCTTGGCCGACGTCGGGGCTGCAGGGCTGGGCGCAGCCGTGACGGAGCCAGCCATGCAAAGCAACCTTGCGACATGGCAAGTGGCTTTTTGCATGCGTAGGGGTGTAGTCGGTGTTGTAGCTGTCGATGCTACAGCTCCACCCTGCTGATCACAGTCCATGTTGTGTTGTCGGGGGATCGCTCCTGTGGCCATCATTGGCATCAATTGCGGAGGTCTCACGACAAGGGAGCATTTTCCTCCTAAACACCACTTCCCGCATGTACTTCCCACTTTGACGGATCGCTTCTTCTCGTGGCTTACAGGCCGAGGGCAATGGCCGCTGTGCCCGGAACAATACATACTGATGAAATACCGATGCATACTACGGCATTTGTGGACATGTAAACTATGATATATAGCTAAAAACTCTATATAGCTAAGAACTTATAAACAACCGGAGAATAGATAAATATACTTGCAAACATGAATGAATACACAAGTAGCTAAAACAGAATGCGAGAAATCTTCGTATCCATCATAAACAGATACATACACTTAAACATATTCACCTACACATAAATGCATGTCATCTGCATCTGCGTGCACATACAATTCCATTGCACATCTACTCTCACACACATATACCGTACCGGGAGCAGGACACCATCTTCAACCCGTTGGCGATGATCACGGTTAGACTGCAGGTCGCTTTGCCGGCACGTCCAGATCGTGGGTTACTGGGACTACGCCTCTTCAACTTCTAAATAGGTGTGGTTGTTGCCAGTTATTGTTGTTTTCTGAAGCGCAGTGGATCAGACTTGAGCTTGCTCCGTCATAGCAACCAACGCAGCAGACTGCACGGCCTAAGGTGGACAAGGACGGTACCCTTTATCGAGAATTTCGTCAATGCGCAGTGCGCATCTTTCGTGAAGAAGGTGTGTCCCCAGGCTAGCGTTTGAATGTGACTTGAGAGTTTAAGCCGCCTCAATCTGAAGTAGCCCAGCAAAGTCACAAACGCTTGCCCAAGGCTTGGTCTTTGGCTGCCCGGGCTCGTGGCCACATGGATGAATCCGGGACCGAAAGGGCATCAAACATGCACCTGTATCCACACACAACTTGTTGTGCAAATGCGGATGCAGGAACGTTAAGTGGAATTGTAACATAGATGTTTTCGGTCAGTGTTGCCGTCATGTTTACGACATTCGAATGCACGTTCCTCGGTGGTACGAGCCGTTGCTTGCGCACTACTACCAACCTCTGCCTACTGCTACTACTACGATTGCTCCTCCTGCTGCTGCTGTTGTTGATACTACTACTGTAGCGTCATTACTACTACTACTACTACTACTACTACTACTACTACTATACTACTACTACTACTACTACTACTACTACTACTACCTATACCTACTACCACTACTACTACTACCTACTACCTACTACCTACTACCTCCTACCTCCTACCTCCTACCTCCTACCTCCTACCTCCTACCTGCTACCTGCTACCTGCTACCTGCTACCTGCTACTTGCTACCTGCTACCTGCTACCTGCTACCTGCTACCTGCTACCTGCTACCTGCTACCTGCTACCTACTACCTGCTACCTACTAACTGCTACCTGCTACCTACTACCTACTACCTACTACCTCCTACTACTACTACTACTACCACCACTACTACTACTACTACTACTACTACTGCTCCTACTGCTACTGCTACTACTACTGCTACTCCTCGTCGGCGTGCTGCAGCTACTGCTGCTACTGCTTCTGCCACTGC